GTATTCTCCTCTTCCAAGGCTTTCTCTATCCCTGCCTTCTCAGCCACCGACTTGGCCCTCTCGTCCACCAGCGCCCGCTCCAACTCAGCGATCTTCAGATCTGCTTCTTTATTTTCCTTGATCGACTGAGCGCGCAGGTCTTCATTGCAGACCATGGCCTCGTCCCATCTTTCGTTGGCGACGGTGCAGGCTTTCTGGGCCTCTTCCAACTTCTTCTGCTCGCCAGCCAGTTGGAACTCGAGCGACACCACCTTGCAGCGTTCCGTCTCCAGCTCTAACTTGGTCTCGAGCAGTTTAGCATTGGCATGGTCGGCTGAATAGCCCTGCACCATCGCCAACACTTCCATCTTCTTGGCGTTTTGGGCATACTCCAGTCCCCTCACGCACGCGCTCCGCATGGCTCTCCTCTACCTCCCGGTCTCTCTCCTTAAATTTTTAAGCTGGGCTTTCACCTCCTCCAGCTTTGCCTTCAATGGCTCAACTTCACCTTTTGCGTACGTCGTTTTCTTCAGCAAGGCTTCTGCTAAGGTCGTCACCTCCATCTGGGCCGAGAAGAGCCCCCTTAGCAATTCGACCTCTATAAAACTCGCCATCAAGCGCATTTTCGCATCCTCCACCACGCCCAAGAGCCGATTGGCAGCAGTCCTGGCTTCACCTCCTTCTCCCTCCAGTTGCCCGGACACTGCTGGAGCGTGGTAAATGGCGGTCTTCCACCTAGCCCTCCCTCCTTCTTCTTGGGTCGCAGGACCCCCCTTGGGCTGCTGCTCTGCCCCCTGCTCAGGGCCAGTCGCCCTACCTTACACTTGTGTTTCGGGGTCCATGGCATTCCCCACCCCACCCCTTGTCTCCTCAAGCTCCACCTCTAGGGTGACCTCTGCCACCCCTTTCTTCATCTTCTTTAACGTTGGCCCCTCTTCACCCTTGTCCACCATCTTCTTCTTCTTTTTCTTCTTCCCCTTCGACACAGCCTCCACCTCCCTGTTGCTTCTTTCCTTCAATGGATCTACGGGGGCCGGTCGTGGCTCAAAATCACCCAAGTCCTTTACCTCCAGTGGCTTGGGGCGCGGTAGGATTCTTTCCCTCGCGATCGACTTCGGCGGACGGTCTACCTGTGACTGTTTGTATTTATTAGCCTTGGCAAAACTCACCCTATCCTCTGCCTCTTGCGCCTTCCTTCTCGCCTCTAGTTCTGCCAGTACAAAATCTTCACCGGTCGGCTGAGGGCCCAACCTTGCGGCAAACAAGGCTGAAGGATGAACGAGGTCGTCCTACTTGGCACCCTCCTTCTCCCTCTATGCCTTCACCTTCTTCACCCTCTCCTCTGCCGCTACCCCCAACCCTGGCTCCATTGATTTGGTTGGCACTCTCCATACGATGCGCCCTCCAACTCCCCCGTTGGCGGACACATAGAACCACCGCGGCCTCCACCCCTTAATTGACAACGGCAACCCCACCACCAAACCCTTCCCTGCCGCCGCTTGTAAAGCGACCCAAGTCTCTTGCTGGCCCGAAGCCTTGTAGCATGCAAAAAACTAGTCCACCGTCATTGCAGCCCCCTCCTTCGCCCGCGGCCACGCGTTTGCACAGGCAAGTAAGATCTTCCACGCATTGGGTATCAGTTGGCCTGGAGCCACCTCCAACCGATCCAATACGTCCATTACTATCCGGGGGAGTGGCAACCTCAAACCCCCCTTTAACGCCTCCTCGTAGAGGGCAAATTCCCCCGGTCGAGCATCGGATGCCCTCTCCTTTGATGGCGGCAGTTTTAACTCTATTTCCGCAGGAATCTGATATTTCTCGTGCATACCCTCCAACTCCTCCGCGGTAAAGGTTAACTTGTCGGCCTTCGTGTGCTAGTGATCTGGCTCAACCTGACTGATTAGCTTCGCAGCCGCTATTAGCGTGGACGAGCGGGGTCGTCTTGCTGGTCCCCCCTCACTCCCTACTCGCTTCTCCATCCTGTATTACTCCGCCAGGTCCACTGCGTCGTCGTCCCCCAAGGCATCTAGTCTCACATTGGGCACTTCCTCTCTAGCCATCTCTCTGGTATGCTTGCGTATAGCTTCAGATGCTGGTGCAAGGTAGTTCACAAAATGTTGCAAAGGTGTATCACTCGACACAAAGGAGTTTACTCTTAGAATGTTTTGGTTCTTTGCAAAAAGGTAGGTAAAGCGAATAATACCAAAAGCCCAAGGCTTTCCTGTATTCCAAGGGTCACGGTTAAATTTTTCCAGCTTGAAAATTTTCATAAAAATTCGCCAAAACCGCCTTTTCAACACCCTATGTTAACCTACCCTTTCGTTTCTTGCCCAACGCCTAACCTTCTCCATCGCAAGATTAGGCCACGTGTACGACCACGATCCACTGCTCCCTTCCCCTACCTTGTCTTTTCCACTTCAAATCACCACGTGCCCTGCCACTCCTCGAGCCCCGTGCACCACCACTTGCCCCTCCACTCATGATTGGTCCTTCCACTCGGTTACCCTTTGCAGTTGGCCCTCCTTATGGTTGATCCCTCCGCTCAGTCATCCTTCGCGGTCGGCCCTCTTTATGGTCGGTCCCTCTACTCGGTCACCCTTCGCGGTCGGCCCTCCTCATGGTCGGTCCCTCTACTCGGTCACCCTTCGCGGTCGGCCCTCCTCATGGTCTTCCCCTCCACTCGGTCACCCTTCGCGATCGGCCCTCCTCATGGTCTTCCCCTCCACTCAGTCACCCTTCGTGGTCGGCCCTCTTTATGGTCAGTCCCTCCACTCGGTCACCCTTCGCGGTCGGCCCTCCTCATGGTCTTCTTCTCCACTCAGTCACCCTTCGCGGTCGCCCCTCCTCAGGGTCGGTCCCTCCGCTCGGCCACCCATCGTCGTTGGCCCACCTCTCGGTCGGTCTTCGCCCCACCGGTCTTTCACAACCATCGCTTTCTTCATTATTTCCTTTGTTGGACTAAAGCTGTATTTGGGAATGGGAGACTACTGACATGGCTAAGCCCATAAAGGTTATAGCCTACCATTTAGGGCCCAATACATAATTCAACTACTAAAGCCCAACGTTGCTGGAACTCAACATGGCATTAAGAACCAATGACATCTAAACACGTGGCAAGAAAAGAACAAGCCACATAAGCAGACAAAAATCCTGCAAAGTTATTGCACTGCACATCAGCCATTAATGAAGCCCCTTACAACATTTATTGCGATAACCCCTCCCAATCGAGACAAACGGCCTCACCATGAATAAGGCAAGTTAGAGCATAGACTTTCGGCCAAGATGACAGGTCGGAAGGGACAACGAAATGATTACCAAAGGATATAAGCAAACGTCGAAGATAAGAAGAAGGTTAAGCTTTTATGCAGGTTCCTCTGTGGGCTTGGTACCTCAGATACTAGTTTGGGAAGCGTGGATCAGTCCGACCCGTTCCATCTGGAACACGCTGTATCATCAAATGAATAGAGTCGTTCGTGAACAAACTCGAGCTTAGCTTACTAAGAGCTCGTTCGAACTAGGTTCGTTAAATTTTTTTGGTGTTCAAGTTCAAGCTCAAGCTCGAACTCATTAAATTTTTAATAAATAAGTCCAAATATTCTAAAACTCAGCTCGTTAGCTAACTTGTTTAATATTTATTATTTATATATTATATAATGTAAAAATATGTATAAAAAATAAGATAAATATGTTATTTATATATTTTAAAAAATATAAATGTAAATAATAGTTAACTATATATGGTACATTTATATAATGGTAGTAGTAGGTATAATTATTTTGATAAAATATTGACATTTTTTTTAAATATTTATATATATTGTATATATAATTGTATAATCAAAGTTTTAATTGTAATTTTAGTATCATACGCAAATATAAATTTATAAATTTTTTGGCTCATTAAGACTCGTGAACATGCTCGAACTCGAGTCATGCCTAAACCAACTCGGCTTGAGCTCAATTTGTTAAATTTTTATTGAGTTCGAGTTCGAGCTCAAATTCGTTTAAATCTTAATAAATAAGTTTAAACGTATTACAACTTAACTTGACTCGACTCGTTTGCAGCTCTATATAAAAGTAGTAAGTGTTTTAGTTAAATTATAATTGTTTTTAAAAAAACTCCAAAATTTGACATGTATAATAAAATAACTCTTAAACTTTTGATTAATTTTTAATTTAAACATCGACCTATTTTCATCATTAAATAAAATGATCAAAAAAAAATTAATCATTAAATTTAATAAAAAAATATTTTTTAAAATATTTTAGTTACATTAAATTTATTGACAAATACTATTTTCTATCCATTTACTTTACAAAATTAAATTAATAATTTAAATTAAAAATAAACTTAAAATTTAAATTAATAAAATTCAAAAATTATTTTATTACTAGAGTTCAACTCTGACTTTTTTTCTTAATTTCCCCTAAATTAATATTATATTATTGTAGACTAGCTTATGTACAATGCTATACTAAAAAAAAAATCAAAAAGGATAAATTATCAATAAATTTTAATAATTAAACTTAATTCTTATCAAGTTCTATTGAAAATAAATCTTAATAAACGTGTCACTAAAAATAATTTTTTTATGACAATTTTTTATATATATAGCTAAAAATTAACAATTAGTGATTTTTTTTATCATGATTTTTATAAATTATCTTTAAAACTTACAACTAGTAACTTTTTTATAATAAATTTTTTCTATATAACTTATTAGATAATAAATTTATTTATTAAGACTTACACGTAAATACCTCTAGAAAAAAAACATATGGACTTATTTCAGTCAATGTCATTGTTTCTTTGTTTTGTTGTATTTGGAAATCACAAATGAAGATCATTACAAAGGCTACCTTCATGTTTACATCCGATGAATTTAGGGACACTTTGGGAAGATTCATAAAAAGTCATTTTTTTTTATTTTTTTAACTGTTTTATCAAAAAAAAATTTGACTTTTTATAAAAACCAATCCAATTTTTTGTCAAAAAAATTACCAAAAAAATCAAAAAATTATTTTTTTACCACCTTCTCAAAACACCATTTAATTACACTCATCTTATAAACATCCAACAAAAAAACACAAAAAAATAATAATAACAATAATTATTATTATCTAATGACTCTCTCTCTCTCTCTCTCTCTCTCTCTCTCTCTCTCTCTCATCCCCACCGTTGCTTTACAGAACCAACCACACAACCTCTTTGATTTTACAGAAAGAGGCCATGAAAAATTGAGCAATGATTTTCTTGTCTTGGCTTGGCTTGGCATGGCGCGGCGCTGACAGGCCTGGCTGCTTAAGGCCGTGTTTGGTTGTACATTTTTAGTGGTGGGTTTTTTTATTTTTTGGCTTTTTTTAAGCAACTGCAACTGTGCCAGTCCTTACATCATTGTTGGGGGAAGAAGAAGGTTTGTTGTGGTTGGTGGGGTCAGAAGTAGTAGCAGAAGTGGTTGATTGTCTGAGGGCTTTTTTGGAAGAAGAAGAAGAAGAAGAAGAAAGCTTCCAAGTCCTCTTCTTTTCTTTGGCCTCATCTTTCTCTATCTGTTCTTGCCTGCACTCTTGGCTACAAAATGGTGTATTTCCTCTGCAAAAAAACATACAAAAATATTTTTAATTCCCAAAACACACTTCAGAATCCACTATATTTAGGCCTAGTTTGGGAAGACAAAATAAGTGTATTATGTGTAGAAAAAGTAGAGAGGAGATGTTGATTGATGTAACCTAAAAAAACAAATCAAAAGGTTAAAAACTCGTGATTTATTTTGTTACAAAACTTAAATCTTGACTTTTATTGATACGATTTTTCCAATTTTAAATTCTGAATTGATTAAGAAAAAATTATTAGTTCGTGTAAGCATACTCTAATCTAATTTTTTAACAAAATCTCGATTTGATGCATAATTAACATAATTTTTTGTTACTAAAGATTGGGATTAATTAGAGAAATTGAATTAAAAGTAAAGCTAACCTGTACATGAAGATGTCACTGTTATGACCCAATTGCTTTCTGCAAAGAAAACAAGCTTCAAGAAAATGGGATTCATTGTTGTTCTCTTCCCACCCGGCGTATGATAACACGGCCGATCTCATTGTCTCTCTGTGCATATTGAGTAACTGCTAACTATATTGCAGTGGGCTGCTAAGATGAGCCTGGTGTGTAGATGAATGAATGAGAGAGAGATGGGATTGTAAGAAGGGGCCTAAGAAGTGCATGAGTTTTATAGGTACATTCAGAGGCAGACCAATGGACAAGAGATGGAGTAGAGTTTAAAATCACGTAGTCTATGGATCAGAGGACACAGGTGGTCTACACTAATTAGATCATTTTAAAGGTTTGACTTTAAAAAAGTCATTGATTTCATTGGTTGGGAGGCTAGAGACCACCTATCTTTAAAGGTCGATGAACTAGTTGAAAGTTTGCGGAGGGGCTATTTTTAGAAGAAATAAAAGCGGAGGTGGTTTTAAGAAATCTAGGGGTTGAAATGAGAATCTGGTGGCTTCAAGTTCATGCATCTATTTGGCACCAAAAGTTAATCTACTTTTTGCTATTTGGTCCCCTATATTAAGTTTATTATTTGTGTATGAATTTTTACACTCTTTTAGTTTGGCTAGACATTATTGAAAGATTAGCAATGAGGGCACACACGACCTATGTACGAAATATATGTAATTTAGCAATGGAGATATGGTGAGGAAAAATTTCTTGTTCTAAGTGTCATCCAAAGCAGAAGAAAAAATCGAAAACCCAAAGACCTCCAAAGACTTGACGTCATTTTATAGATAGGTTAAAAAAAATATATCAAAAGAGTTGATTAAGGAAGGGTGACAAGAACAATCACAAGATAATCGATCAGAGGATGAAAACATGTTTATTAAAACCAATTCACTCAATGTCTAACAACACAGCTGAATGGCTAGATTTCTACCTAAGAAGACACTTTTAGTATTATAAAAAGAAGTTGAAATAATACATCAAATACACAACAATAGAACCCTAGGGATTGGTTGAACGGTGAAAACTTGAGAATAAAATCTGAGGTCTTGAGTTCGAGTCATTCGAAGGGGCCACTAGAGGCTTATCTGGTCATTAACTTTAGGTTTAGGATTCTCAGATTAGTTGAGGTGTATGCAAATTGGCCCGATCACCTAGTTGTCAATTTTTTTTAAAAAAAAGTACACACCAATAGCCAATCATTTTCTTCTATACTGTTATTCTTTCTGATCAAACACTAACTTTATCGTCAGAGAACTCCTTTAACCAACAATTAGGTCAGGAAAGCCTCTAATGGTCTTGTTTACTATGCAATAATATAAAAAATACTATCCACTTCAATAATTTGACAAATTTAAAATCAGAAAATAAAATAAACGAGTATAAATTTTGTTAATTTATATTATATTATTTGACATTTTTGTAGATTCTCTTCACTTGCACAATTATGAGAAGGAAGGAAGCCATTGGGATTTATGGTAATAATCTAATTTTGGTTTTTATTTGTTTCTAGAAAATACACATTCAAGTTGGTGGGATAACAATATTGGTTGGTCTCTTATCTTGTCATGTACAATGTATACTTATATTGAATAAGTTTTTTTGGAATCAAATATGGTGAGTGAATTTGGTAATTGTTAAAAATAAAAAAATAAAAAAATAAAAAATTGTTATTGCAAAAGTTAATTATTTTAATTTTAGCTCAAGACAAATAAATTTTTATTTTTTGACTTATTTAGAAAAGAGTTTTACTAATAACAGCTCTAAAGGTTTCTAAGGCACCGTTTGGGAATTGGTTTTGTGGGCTTTTTTTTGGTTATTTTAGCCATAAAAGACAAAATAGGCTATTTTAGCCACAATAAACAAAACATCACATTCAACCCATAATCATTACACTCTTCTCTCACAAAAAAAGTCAAAAAGTCAAAAAACTCTTCCCAAACCAAACTTTTTAGTCCAAGCTAAAATAACCAAAAAAGTCAAAAAGTCAAAAAAGTCAACTCACTCCCCAAACCAACCCTAAGAAGCACAAATAATTTATAATCTCAATATAATTTTTATATATCCCAAGATATTTGCACACATTTCAATATATTTTTATACATTATTTACATATTTTTTTAATACTAACAACAATCTTAAAACTATTTTTAATAATTTCCAAAACTTATTTAACTCACGCCAAACGAAATCTAAATTGCATGTATGGCAAACTCTTTTGTTTGCTTATATAATAAAATAGATGAATTAAGAACATAGTAATTAAAAAATTAACTAATTTGTCCCAAATTGTACCAATAATATTCACACAAAAAAACACAAAGCCAAAGTTGAGAACTGGTTCTACTTGCTTAATGCACAAAATATTTGGGGCAAAAAAAACATTTCTTGCAACTTTCGAGACCTAACCATAAAAAATTTCATGCTAAGGGTAAACTATTGTAATTTCAAGTTGCCAGCGAAGGGCAAATTCGTAACATCACAAACAATTTCACGACATCTCTAGAGTTTCCTGTTTTCACTGGGACCCACTTTTGTCGTTTTCTGTCATCCCCACTAGGAGTTGAGTCGACGTAGGACCCACCACCTCCATAAAAAACACACACGTGGGACCTCGTGGGAACCCACCGTTCAATGTCAGTACATGCGGCTCGTCATTCGATGTCTTTGTCTCCTCTGCCCGTAACGTAACCCTCCTCCCCTGCCCGTGAATCTCGGGCAGAAACTTAAGCCTGGTGTGGTAGGGGTGAGCATGGTCCGGATTGGACCGGATTGGAATAAAACCAGGACCAATTCGTTTTTTACGGTTCTTAAAATATTGGAACCAATCCAATCCGTTTAAATCATGGAACCAATCCAAACCAATCCATTTAAATACGGATTGGATCGGTTTAGGACCACGGATTCACATAATTAAATAACAAAAATATATTTATAACACTTTAATTTTATAAAAATATAAACATAGCGCTATATTAGTTCCACAATAGCAACATATTTTTCTATAATAGCGACATACTGTTCTAAAATTTAAACAACCATAAGAAAATTGGTTTCACTATAAGTATTTAAACCATTACAAATTAAAACTAAAAACCAACAAACAAGAGTAATAAAAGAAGATATTATACGGTTTTAGGTTTGAGTTTAGATTTTATATAGAATTAAGAGAAGATACTATAGGGGAGGATGTATAATAAAAATATAGACTATTTGTATACGGTTCGGATCGGTTCCAATCCAGAACCGTGAGATTCAATCCGGAACCAATCCGTAGACTACGGATTTTTAATTCTTCAATCCGGAACCGAACCGCGGATTCAAAAAATTAATCCAAACCTATCGGATTGGACTGGACTGGATCGGATTACGGATTTCACGGATTGCTTGCTCAGCCCTATGGTGTGGAGTGCTAAAAAAAAAAAAAAATCAAAAAATTAAAAGTTATTAATACCATTAAAAAAAATATTCAAAAATTAATTCTACACATAATTAAATTTCAGACAACCCTGACGTTTAGAGGCGGAGCTGACTTTTTGAAAAAATTACATTTATTTAGGTGCACAAATAATACGGTATTGTTCGGTCAGTGGAGACCCATCATGAGTCCTGTTTTAATAATTTGAACCGTTCAATGTGTAGAACTCATCAAGTACTATATACCTGTAAAAAATTACGTTGATCGGATATCGGTAATTATATAATCAAATCAGTTAAAATTTATAAAATGGATGGTGTTATAGTTAACGGTTGATAAAAAACTAATTAATTAGATAACTATTAATATCCGATTAACGTGATTTTTTACAAACATATGATTCTCGACGAGTTCTACACATTGACGATTTTGATTAGCAAAACAGGACCCGTGATGGGCCTCCATGAGCCAAACATCACCTCCAATTAATGCCAGAAAAGTAGGGAATCATCTCCAGCCTACACTCTGCACACGCTGTCTTGAATTCATCCTATCGTACAATCTATTCTATCACAATCTTCTCCTATACATTAATTTATATAATTTTTTAATATATACTTTTTAATAAAAAATTAAAAAATTATCTCAAACAAGCACCTTTTTATCCTTAAATTTTTAGCCTAAAAAATTAAAAAAAAAGTGTAAACATACACTTCCCAACGTTAAATATTTTTTGGGCAGTTAACACGTGCGTCCTCGTCAGAAGAACAGCGAAGCACCTAACAATCACGTATGGGGTTACGTGGCATCTAATCAATATAAATCGAACGGTTTTTTTCTCGTTCTACGTTCTCGGAGATGTATCGATTTACGAGGAGTCGACCAAATGGACGGTGGAGATCGCATAACGCGGGACAGCATCAATTATTGGTGAATCCCACTTGTTTCTCCTCACACGTGGGATTGTTTGGACTTGAGTTGTTTGTAAAGGACCTTGGTTTAAATTTGACAATCAGTAATTTTTAAGGATGATGCTAAAAGTAATTTATTGAGTTATTTTTAAGGTTAGATTATTGTCAAATAGTATTTTAATATATTTTATAAAATTAATTTCACTTTTTTCCCTAACTATTGTTATGTTATTCTATTTGATTCATTGGTTTTACTTATTCAGTTTTAAATTTTTTTAATTTTAATTAGGAAAATATTTGAGATCTAAAAAATATATATATAATTTGATCCATTATGATGTGATATCATACGTGTCAATTTTTTATTTATTACGCATGACATAATAAAATTCAATTTCTTTGTTACATTATTGTGAGTGAATTTGTAAATATAAAATTATGAATATATAGCATTTCTTTTTACAACGACGATTCATCCCACTAAAAACATCACCACTAATAGCACTAATGCATTAAAAAAGTAAAAATAAATAAATAAATACAACTCCAAGACCAAAACATCACATCATTAATGACGGGACCCACTACCACCTAATTAGTGAGAGCACTAATTAGTGCTCCCAAACATTTTTCTTCTTTTTAACTAATGTGATCCAATTGGAGATGTAGACTAATTTGGGAGGCAAAAAAAATATTTTAAAATTTGAATAATTTATACCCTACAATAAAACACTTCCATTTTTTTTATTCACTATTTTAAAATGGGATGAAGGGAAGAATATGTAAGTTTGGTGGTAAGGTATAAATTGTCCAATAAAATGTGAGTAAAAATTTGAATATTTGGTTGTATATAATAGTAAGATTACTATTTTGCTCATTA